ATTGTACAACGAAATAGCAACTTAAAAAATTTAATCAACTTAACCTTATATCGAATCAAGAAGAGGATGACAAAACAAAGTAAAATCTCAAATTTTTCACCTTGCTCAACTACTCTGAGTCTAGAATAGTCGATTCTAATAGAATGAAATTTTTATTGTGAAATAATAAATAACCATTGATTTTATGCTAAATTTGGATTGAAAGATTTACTGAGGGATTTGAAATCCATATATTTCAAATTTACAAGTTCAAATCCTCATGCATGTTGGGATGATAATGGAAGTTGGAGGATTTCAAATTCATGCTAGATGTGTTTTAGTCATTATTTTGAAGGATTTTAAATGACTCCTGAAACCTAGCCATTTGAAATCCAATGTTTATCACTGTTGACGATCGCTGTCCGCGATCATTTAAGTTCATCACCACCGCGAGTCCACACCATCGGTGCGAGTTAGACAATTGATTTATAATATTTTCAACACATTCATTCAAGGAGTGTGCAAATAAAAAATTTATATTTCAAAAATTTTGAAATTAAAGGATTTCAAATCTCTCAAAACAAACGGAACCTTAAAGAATTTATAAGGACCAAGTAGATTAAAAATTGGAAGTCACATTTAAAATTTGTAACTTCAATTGACTCATGACTTGAATGATTGAATTATTAGCAAACAAGCTATTTATATATTTAAACAATAAATTAGAGAGAAGTATAATACTCGAGTGAAAAAAATACAAAATGTTATTAATATATTAGCAATAATTATTAATTAAAATCAGCACGAGAATTAGNAGATCGAAGAGTTTTATTGTCAAAAGTCTGTATAATTTCGATCTTATTGTGAAAAGTCAGTATAAAAATAATGTGTCTTTTTCTTTAAAAAAATTATACTAAGAATATTCTTTTTCTTGTTTCTTAATATATATATATTGGGTCACTACGGTGAGAATGGTTTTCAATGAAAGAAATAAGAATACATCTTAGTCATCGGATCGGATGATCCAACAGCTCAAAAAATACCTATATTTTAAACTCATTAAGGGTAGTGTAGTAAATTTGTACCCAACCAACCTGTGGGTCCCACCTCATACCAACTCACCCTAATTAATTTCTAACCAATCAAATAATCAATGGTCCCACCACTCATTCTCTTTCACGCAGAAAACACACGATTTCTTCCTCTCTCCACACACAAACGATCGTCTCTCTCCACACACATCTATACACACAGTTCAGACAGCCACCGGACGGCCATCCACCACCTCCACCCAGCGCCGTCAACCGCTTCCATTTTCTCCCGCGCCCGCCGCTGAATCTACGGACCGTCACTTTCGTCAAGGAGGTCGGCCCACAGTCCGACGTTGCTACAACAGAGTTAACCGTCCCCCAAGGTCCGCCGTCATCGACGTCTCGTCTGCACATGTCCGTGTGCAGGGTCCACATTGCGTCGTGGTGAACTCCTCAAGTCCGGCATGGTCTCGGTCGACCAGGAGGCAGAGCTCGTCGGCGAGCCCGACGCCACGCACGGCGCCCATTCACCTGGCGGTCGGCAGCGACTCCACTGGCGTCTTCCAATATCACATCAATGTCCGGCGTCCGGTCGCAGGCGCGCCGGCGATGCCCAGCCATATGTGCCAAAAAACCTGCAACTTCGATTTGGGGGTTAGAGATTTATTGGTTTGATTATGGAAATTAGATAATGTATAGGGCCATCTATGCAATTATTATATATATGTGCATTCAAATTGTTTTTTAATATTAATTTTGGGGCATATGTGTTAGACAAAAAATAATTATGGACTTATATTTAATTTCATAACTTTTCAATGTCTTTTTATTTTAGTACATGGACGAATTTATTAGTTTTTAAACTATAAAAGCACTGTCGCGCGTATCAAATTCTACGTCACACACAGCTTTTCTTGTACGAATATCAGAATTTTCGCGCGGCATCAAGGTCTGAGCCAAATTGGCAATTTCAGAATCTCCCTGGCGAATGGCCTGTTCTCCCCGGTTGGAATAGTCGCCAAATAGGTATTATTCCAATGAAAATCTATGAAATTGAATATAGTTCCTGTTATTATATCTAGCCAGTCCTCTAAGTCTGACTCATTGTCGTCAGAAAGTGATGGCCCAACACGTGGCAAATCGATAAGATCGGTTTCTCATTGTTAATTGACTTGACACCTATCGTAATGATAAACGGCTCGTCTCGCCGTGACCTTCTCTTGAATTCTCAAAACTTCTGTCGCTCCAACATTTCATTTGATGGTCAGAGGCGAATTGAAAGCTAAGCAGTGGGAATTCTAAAGATTCCCCGGGCCAGAAGATGAAGCGGCATAAGTCGTCAAGGGAAGAGAGGAGAAGAGTTGCTTGCTCGTTGCGCGTAAACACTATTCCGACTCTTCCTATTGAGTTGTGCGTTTGGTGTGTGATTGATTGGCTGATTAGTCGACTTGACTAAGCCGCATAGTGGCGCGACCTCACGCGAAACCCCTTCCTTCTTCTTCTACCTCGTCAAGATCCGACGGGAAAACTTTTTGATTCAAAAGCAATTATAAATTATTTTGTTTATTTAGGTTAATTCGGTCAACCATTGATTAAATCAATTATTTCGGTTATGTTTAGCTTAATGTGGGACAAGTCGTTCAAAAATGCATACATTGCGACTGCACAACGGTGTTAAACGAATTGCACATGAACGACTATAATATTGCACAATAATGTTAGACGAATTGCACATTATTGTCTGCACGATTGCACTTTATAAATTTTGATATTTTTACACATAATAATATAAATTATTAAATATAAATATTAAAATATAAAATGTATTTTATAATATACATAATAATATAAAAATATTTGGTATTAATAAATAAATTATATAATAAAAATAATAAATAAAAAGCTATTTTAATTATTTTGGTTAATTCCATGTACAATTACACCCATATTTATACATAAGTTATATAGGAAGGCATAAATTAGACATTGCACTTTATATAACGGAATGTCGCACATTATAAAGCAATACGTTGCACTTTAATACATCATCTATCTAAAAAAACACAAACATGCTAACGTGGCAACATTAATACGTTGCACGTTATATAGTAATACGTTGCACCGTATAACACAACATGTTGCACCGTATAAAACGATGTATTATAAATATTTTATTATTTAACATATTATTTAGTTTCAACCAAATATTAAATAAAAGAATTAAAATATTAATTATAGTTTGATTAATTACAAATTGACATATGAACTAAATTATAATATATAAAAAGATCTAAAATTGCAATCAATATATTATTTTTTTAAAGTAATTGAAATAACTATACTGACCAATCTATATAAAAAGTATTATTTATTTATATATTTTTTGTAAATATATTATTTTTTAAATCAAAATAAAAATGTTGGATAACAATATTAATGTGCACTTTTCATATTATTAACGTGCAATTTAAATATCGTTAATGTGCAATTTACATATTATTGATGTGCAAGTATTAAAATTTTCATAAATTATAAATTTGACCCTTGAACTAAATTGAAATATATTAAAATTTATAAAATTGCAAGTTAGTCCTTTAAACATGTCAAATTTTCAAAAAGATGCCCTAAATTCTATAATGCAAATCCCGTTCATTTTAGGCCTCTCTGCCGGCAACGGGATGTCGGAACTGTGGCGGCGACGGGCTTAGTGACGGCGGGCGAGGTCCGGCGCGGCAGGCGGGTGGTGGTTCACGCTGCCGGTGACCTGCAATGTATCCGGTGCTTGCCGTGGCTGAGATGCCGTGGGCCGATGCAGTGCTTGTAGGTGGCGACATAGTGGATGTTGTCAGCGGCGACGTTAGAGGCATGGCTGGTGGTGGCGGCGGGCTGGTCTGGTTGCTGCGACTGGAAGAAAGTGGCAGACGGCGGAGGCGGAGGCGGATGGCGGAGGCGAGGCTGCTGTGATCGGACGGCTGAGGCGAAGCGGCGGACTGGTGGAGGAAGGCGGAGGCGAGGTGGAGGCTTGTTGACGGCGGCGATTGTTGTGGCCGTCGGGAATTCACCGTCGGCTCTGGACGGGTTGCCGGATTCGGAGGACGACGGCTGCACTGTCGGCGGCCGCGACATGACTGGCGGGATTGTTGCGTTGGTGGGTGTGTCTGCGGCCGGAATGAGAGCTGCCGGCAAGTGGCCGGACTGTTAGATCTGTGTGTGTTGTGTGAGTGCGAGTGTGAGAGAGAGAGGTAGATAGCGGGAGAGAGGAGAGAGGAGAGGGAGTAGAGTAGAGAGGAGAGAGGAGATGAATCGTTGGCAATATTGATGGTGGGGCCCACTTATTTGATTAGTTCTTGAAATCACATAACTGTCCTTGTAGTTTATAATTTGTCCATGACATATTAATATATTTACAAATATGCCACTACAGGTTTGACCATGATAATTAATTTTGACTTCATCATGTCCATTGATCGTACCAATCCAATAGTCTATAATCATTCTTATTTCTTTCACTATCTACCATTCTCATATGAT